TTCCTGTAGTCAGCCGCTGGTCAGTTTCAGCAGCGGCTGAATCTGGAGCCAGTTCTGACTTCCATACAAATTCAACTTAAGAACAAACCTATAGTCCCTATCTTGTACGTAACCCGGGGACTACCTGTAGTTATCTTTTCTTCTAAGACTTCATTTCCCTTGTTCTAATTTTTGTTTAATTATGAACACAAGTACATTGGGGATGGCAAATTTATTGATCTATAGGAAACAATGAATATGAATGCATTTGCAATCTATCCCAAATACTCATAGTCAAAGATCAGTGTCACTTATGAAGAATATGGCTTTAATATCAGTAATTCAATGGTTAAAGTTTATTTAAATAACTCATGTGTTCAAACATCTTATTTATTCCTTAGGGGGCCTCCATTATCCGGATGCTTTCCAGCTTTCTGACTGATCGGTTGTTTTTCAAAGCACTCAATGTGAGTTTAGAAAACTTAACTTCTTCATCTGGGGTTATCCATTTGAAAATAACAATGAGCAGCAACAAGTTTCTCTTTCTGATTTTTTTATTAATCCTTAATGATTATTGTATTTGTTTCATTGCAGTTGTACTTGAAAGCATTTTCCTTTTCAAGCGCTAGCCAAGATGATCTGTGGACTCATATACAAATGGTACTTATCATTTCTTGTTAGTTCTTTTGCTTCAATGGCTGAGATGGGCCAAATTCCGGGCATATATCAACTATGGAACTTTGAAATGGAATTTATCTGTTCCTAACCTAGTTCCTCCTCCCACCCATCCCCCAAACTCATTTTTGCAGGTCTTTTGTGGCAGGAGATTTGATGGGAGAGGTGAGGGACAAAGGGTATAGTTGTCTTGCCTATGCCAGCTGACTTGGGCTTGTAGGGCTTGAGCTAAGAGACTGTTTAATTGTGGTATACACATTAGGGCTTACGTTATCGTCTGAGCTCTTGGACCCTCTCACCTTGCAGGGTCCTAGAACCTGGGCGCCAACCTGAGCCTGAATGTCTGCACTGTAGTTAAACTGCCCCTTAGCTGAGCTCTGTGAGCCCAAGTCAGCTGGCACTGTCCAACTACAGAGTTTTAATTGCAGACATACCCGAAAGCACCAGAGAGGAGGTCTGTGTGCTTACAGCCACTTGCCTTCACATGCACAGACCTGCATAGATCATTCTTTCTCTGAATAAGTTTTGTCATCTTTCCCTGGGCCATTTAAATGGATAAACTTTCCTAGTGGAGTGACATGGTGGGTGAAGTAAGCCTTCATTGGACCTAGATCTTCTGTTGGTGAGAGAGATGATCTTTCAAGCTGACATGGAGTTCTTCAGGTGTAGGAAATGTACTGAGAGTATCACAGCTAAATGCAAGGTGAAACACATTTTTTGGTCATAATTATTAAACACGTATTTTAAGCGTTAGTCTCTAAGGCGCTAAAGGACTACATGTGTTTTAAAGGATCTTTCAAGGTTAAGTACCTCATTAACACTTTTCTAGTCATAAGCGGAAAGGGGAGGACTGGGAAGTGAGGGTTTAAGTGGGTTATAAGTTGTTGCAATAACCAACCTCCAGCTTTTTTTTCTCTCACCAATTGAAGCCAGTCCAATAAAAGATATAACCTCAGTTACTGTGTCTTTTTAATATCCTGGGTCCAACACAGTTACAACAGCACTGCATAGAACCTTTTCTCAGCTTTATCTGTATGTGGCTTTAATAGCCTTTCCTTTTATAACTTCACTTTTATAGAGTAAATATTTTGGCTCAGACAATATTTTAAAATTTGTTTATTTAATGTAATTCACTAAAGGGTGAGGATTTATTTGTTCATATTAGAATGGGGGCCCAACACTTCAGGGAAACTGTCCACCGCCAGCACTTGTAATATTTACCAAAAGTCTGAATAAACTGAAACCTGATGATTATATTTGTTTCACCGCAATCATATCTGAAATATTAATAATGGACTTTTCATTATAATGTCTGTACCAAGATATTGTGGAGAAAGAGTTCATCATGCTAGAACAGAGTCTTACCTTCAGAACAGAGGGTCATATTCTCCTATGGCATACATTGTTAAGTACTGAAATCAATTGAGCTCTGCCAATTCCCACTAATTGAGAATCCAGCCCCAACTCAGTTGTCAGGTGTTACATTATTTTTATTAGTTAGTTTTCATAGTATCTATCTTGTATTCTACATGGTTTACATGAATTGAATAAACAATGTCCCATACAACTAATTGTGTTTATCATTAATCACCCAATCATGCAGATATAGGGTAAAGAGAAAGGTAAAAGAATTAAGTTACAAGACTTTAGCAATGTAATTTCAATACTTTAGATTTCCCAATTGAGTTGGGTCTTTTTTTACAGGATAATGACAATAATGTTTCCCCCATTCTCGATTAGCTACAAAGATTCCCAATATAAAATACACATGAATGTAGACTAAGCAGTTATAATTTCTTAAATATGTTACTATATCTGCAGAGTATTGCAAGGACCAGTATAAATACATGTTTCATAAATGTTTCTAATTCAGCCTTTTCTTGAAGGTTGTGGATACACAGAATGAAGTTCAGTTGCCAGCACCAGTGAAAAATATAATGGACTCCTGGACATGCCAAAACGGATTTCCCATTTTAACATTAAATCTGTCCACTGGCGTTATCAGTCAGAAACAGTTTTATAATAAAAGGACAAAAAACGATACTGCTTACAAGTATGTTTAGTTCATATTTTGAGCATCAGTTTATAAGCTTACCTTTTATTACTGAAAAATGTTGAGTTAGCATTGTATGTTTTGAACAGCCATTTATTCTTTTCCTCCTAGAATTGTCCAAAAAAATCCATTTGAGGCATGAGTTTGAGGAGGCATTGCATGTGATTCCCTTTTGCAAGGGACTACTTCTGCCTGGATAACAGCTGTGCAAGGCAGTTATATGGCTGCAAAAGGCAGAAACAGAGACCATTTAAAAATGGTGGCTAACTTGAGTAGCAGTAGCTTTGGTGCTCTGTTGCAGAAGGTTGGTGTGCTTCTTCATGAGCACCTGAGGTCTCTTGCCTGCACAGAACTCTTTTTAGCAAACAGGATTCTGAAAGTTTTACAGTGTATGGAAGGGGATGAACAGTAATGAAAGGCGAGAATGTAGGAGAATAAAGTAACAGTAGAAGGAAAGTAAATACCCAGAGAAAGATTCTGTTATCTGACCCAACTTGTGTATTAACATCTGAAAAGGTACAGTGCATCAGAGAAGGGAAAGGGACAGCTGGAATTTTAAGTAATCACTTGGAATCTTATTCAACATCAATTTAGAAATTGCTTTCTTACTATAAAAATTAAACTGTCCAATTTGTTTTTTGTTTTGTTTTTGTTGTTTGTGAAGTAACACATGGATTGTTCCTATTTCTTGGATAAGAAATGGATCTGCACAACCGTTAGTCTGGCTTGATACAAGTAGCAGTAAGTAATGTTCTTGTTCAAACATGTAGAAAAGCATATGAACATGAGTGATATTTTAAATTACATTAGAAAGTATAAAAACTCAAAATAAAATTCTATATTCTGCTTTAGTTATACCTCATGTTAAATAAGTACATTTAAATGATGTACAAAAATCTGTTGTTGTAACCATAAAAGTACTCTTTCAGTCACACAATGGAATGGATGTTCTGAAGCAAGATTGCCATAACAATGTAAAATCTGCCATTTTATACAGAGGGACCAACTCTGAAGTCCTTCTTCAGGTTTTACTCATTCTGTAGTCAGGCTGCTTCCATTGACTTCAGTGGGAGTTTTTTCCTGGACTAAGTATGGACTTCGGGATTTGGCCATTATCAGTGCGTTATAATCATATGACTCCTAAATACTGTAAATAACTATACAGAGTAACTGAAAATAACACCTTCGTACATCTAAGGAAACGGAAAAAGTGCCGTTTCAATAATGCATAATTTAATTTGTTCTTATAAATTTGAAGGAGCAGAATTAAAATTAATGTTAAAATGTGCACATGCATCCTCAGTCATAAAAAGGTGCAGTTCCTTCTCATTTAACTATTCTCCAATAAACAAAGTCATTTAGGGTACGTCTAGACTACATGCCTCTGTCGCCAGAGGCATGTAGATTAGGCTACCAGACATAGTAAAATGAAGCGGCAATTTAAATAATCGCTGCTTCATTTAAATTTACATGGCTGCAGCGCTGAGCCGACAAACAGCTGATCAGCTGTTTGTCGGCTCAGCGCGGCAGCCATGTAAATTTAAATGAAGCAGCGATTATTTAAATTGCCGCTACATTTTACTATGTCTGGTAGCCTAATCTACATGCCTCTGGTGACAGAGGCATGTAGTCTAGACGTACCCTTAGACAGAGATAAAGCTATAATCACCACTGCTTTAAACTAAAATAAGCTATTAGATAACTGCAGTTCTGAAAACCTAAAAATTTGAAAGTTTGGAAGTTTTGAGTTAAGGTTCTGGAAAGAGTCTTTATGCTATGCTGTACTCAGTCCCACTATTTACTCTCAATATGAGGCCATCACATATGTCTTCAAATACTTTTTTCAGTACATAATAATGATGGTATAATACTCTGTATAAATATGTCAATTCTCTGTATAAATATGTCAGTTCTCCTTTGTCCTCTCTTTGGAGTGGGCATGGCAAAGTCAAAAGTTGTTACATTTATTTTGCATAACAAGAGATAGAGCTATCAAAGTGACCATCTCACCACATGTGGGTAGAAGAAGCAAATAAATAGAATGGTCATTGACCCCAGAATACACTTGTACTTTTTTATTTAAAATTCAATTAGCCACCGCATGAGTGACAGGTTAGCAGATCAGGGCTGTTGCAGGACAAGGGTGTTAAGCAGTGCTCACATTGAGGGAGCTATACTGAGTTCAGTGCTACAGACTAAACTTGTAGGATTAAAGAAAGGCTTCAATCCTTCCCCCACCCTGTTACCCACACTCACATGTGCAGCCCTTAGAACGATGAAAAATCCCCTTGTACTGGCATTTGGAGCATCTGTCTGGAAAAAAAAAATACTGCACATATTGAGTACAATATACAAATATTGTAACCTTGTATTTAAAAAAATACGCCTTCTAATTTGTCAGTAGGCCTCATTCAAGGCTACTTACGCATGAAGTCTGAAGTTTCAAAACAAAGCTCATTCTGATTTGTTCTACCCAAGTCCAAAAAAAGGCAACTGAATATTTTCTTAAAAAACCCATTTTTTGCACAGATGACTCAAATAGCTAAATTAATTTTCGTTAATTGCTCCTGCACTCATTCTCCTAAAATAGAAATCACTTCTGGGTGGGACCAATGATAAAAATTTCAGCTCAAAAGTGGTTTTGGGAACAGTTTAGACAGAGGCCGCTCAGTACAATCTGCAGTCCTAGGGAACACTTGTGTGTGCTGCCCCCAACAATACCCATATTTGGCCCAGCTATCCCATCATTAACAATGCTGGTGTCCTATGCTGCCCAGCTCCAGCGCCCCATCCTGCTTCACTGTGGGAGTAGGTGGGTGGAGCAACTGCATGTAGGGGCAGAATAGGAAAGAGCTAGGGCTGCTACCTCTCCCAGAAGCCATTTGCTGCATTGGTGTCTGGCCATCTTGTCCAGTCAGTTGGTCCCACCTGTAGCCTCGGGAGCAAGCAGAAGACACAGGGAGCGGTGAGCAGCATGAGCATAGGCTGGAGAATAGGCAGAAGGTGGCTGCGCAGCTGGGTGGAGAGAAGTGGCACTTTGAAGGGGGAACTACTGCTTCACTCCAGCTGCTGTCTGAGCAACCCCCCCCCCCATGTTTCTCCTGTGTCCTCCAGCCCACGCCTCCAGCCCTGTAGTTCCCTCTCATCCAAAACACCCATTAAAACCTGATTCTGCAGTCCTTATTCCCGGGGCATAGCACTTACTGTGATACTACTTGTATATGTATTACTCCATGGTCTTCTCTAGATTGGATTTTATTGTTGTTTTTGTTGTTTCTTTTAATCAGGTTAGTTTAACTGTAGTTGAAACACTTTAAGCACCTTGTGTAGGTGCAGTTTTAATACCTTTAAAATTGTTTTAGCTACTCAGGGTCTACCCTAGACTCTGGCTAGCTAAGTAGAGTTTGGTAACTCAATTTTAAAATCACACTTTTTTTCCTAGTCTGGACATGCCAGGGGAGTAACAATGACAGAATCAGACCCTTGATGAGTGATCAGACTGCATAAGGACAGAACGGAGTGGGCTTTGTATTTACAACAAAGGAATTTAGTTGGATGTTTGCTACTGTTGCATAAACTGTCCCAAACAATTGCTTAGAATTATTTAAACACTGGCAGGGAGGCAATTCTAATCTAAGATTACTGCGGGCCGTATTATGGCTTAAGGATAGAGACCCACAGTGGGGCAATATAAAAGCATACTCTCCAGTGAAAAATCCAGGGTGTATTGATCCTCACATGGACATAGTTTCTCCCAGAGATTTTTGACACACAGGCAAGTCTCCATCCATTAGGAGGATGAATCATTCATTCCACTATACCACCTGCCAGCCTGCTCCTTGGTCAGTGCAGGAGCCTTCCACCTGCCTCCTTTAGGAAGTGGGATACGTTTTTGCATTCTGTAGCACATAAAGGATACATCTACACTGCACGGCTATTTTGGGATATCTCCGGTATCCCAAAATAGCCACCCTGCGTCTACACAAGCCACACGTTTTTTTAAAATATTTTTCTAAATAATGGGCATGCTATTTCGCCATCCCGGTAAACCTGGGATAAGGGATGGCTCGAAATAGCACGCTATTTTGAAATTTGGTGCTGTGTGGATAAATAAGCTATTTGTGTAATGCAAATTGCATCTTATTTCAAGTTTAGGGTGCTGTGTTAGATGCACCCAAAGAGTGCAATTGTCACGCTGTGTTTGGGGCTCTTCTTGTGTCCTCCCAGTGCACTGGATCAGGCACAATCTGGCCTCAGTTGTGATCTTGCAGCTTATAAAATCTTGAGAAATTGGCTCAGCTTTTTTGTCTCATGCATAGTTGTAAATAGCAATATATTTAATGAAGTGATGATGCACATGCATGTATCTCAGATTAAAACTGAGCCTATATTTCATAGCAGAGTATTACATTTTGCATATTTGCATTAGTGATTGCTAATATGATACAGCCTTCCCATTTTCAAATGTCCCCACAGAAATGTTTCCTGAAATGCAAATATCAGATTCAGGACATGACTGGATCTTGTTAAATATGAATACGATTGGGTACTATAGAGTTAATTATGATCCATTATATTTGAAGAGATTAGCACAACTGCTTGAAAGAGACCCAAAGGTGAGAACTTGTTTATCAATGATATAAATAAATTCTATACAATCAATTTCTTATTGCAATCATTACTAGTAGTTACTTTAATTGATAATTGAAAGCTAGTGCATTACATGCAAATCGGCCAGATCTGTGACCATTAAAGTTATTTACAAAATTCACTTTGAGTTTAGTAGGAATAAAAGTGGGACTAAAATAGCTTTTCTTTTCAAGTGTGTACTGAAAACATTACATTAAGTTAGGAGCACATTCTACCTATAAAACCATTGTGCCACTGTGGAAGGATCTCTCCATGTAAGGAGGTTGTTCCATGACTTCAAGCCATTGCAAAACCGTACAAGTGTGTGGGTGTTGCTGGGGATTACCTGCACTTCCAGCTGATGGAAGACATTCTGACAGAAATTTTTTTATTCCACCGGAATGTGTTGATTTCATCAAAATTTCTGACAAAAATTTCCCTGATTCCTTGGGTAGTGGACTCCTGAGTCTGCTTAGTTCTCTGGGGACTAGGGCAGCCTCAAGAGGCAGTAGCCTGGGAGTGAGTTAGCCACAAACAAGCTGAAAAAGTTTTCATTGAGGTTCCTTCAAAATGGAATTATGTTCAGAATTTTTCCTTCCATGAAAAATTTCAGGTTTTTTGCAGAGGAAATTTCCAATTTTCAGTGACCTCCACCAATGTTCTGCAAATTCCTGGTTGTCATTTTAGCATCTTGAGACAATTCACATCAATATAACTTAGAACTGCCTCATGGTGTTCTAACTTACAACATAGGAAACTGGCAGAGCACAACATAGGCTCAGGAGAAAGGGAGCATAGAGATGAACTTTAAGGCACCTTTACCTTCTGCCTCAGTTGAGTTGCATGATGTAGTCGGACCCAAATGGAGTGCTTTTTAATTACAAAGTTTAGAAAATGTAAAGACCAAGGCCACTTAAAATGGTTTAAAATGGCCAAATAAACAAATTCTGCTACAAAGTAAAGGAAATAATGGCCAACAATGCTAGAGGAATGGAGAGGCATGGAAAGGGGAAATGTCTCCTATTGGTATTGTTTTATTGACTTTATGGAAACTGCTCTGTAAGAATTGCAATCCATGGGTGTGGCAAGCATGGAAACAGCAGAATTGAGAGCACAGCCTCTCTAAGCTGCATTATTTTCCTTTCCTTCAAACATGAATGGATTTTCGGAACAAGTAAATTCTGAATGTCAGCATAAATTTATGTGGGCTCCCAGTCCATGCTTTGAATTCTCCACTGGCTTTTGTCAGTGAGAGAATCTCTGGGAACTTGAAAGTCATACTGCTATGCAGGCAGCAGGAGAGAGAGAAGCAGAGGCCAGAAGTCAGACTAAAGGATTGGGGTTTGAGACAAATAGACCTTGACTCTGGTTAATGTTAGATTCACCTGCTTTGTCGGGAATCCACAGATTCCTTTGACCAACCCCCCACCTCCACACACGTTCTTCTGAGGTTGTTGGAGAAACTCTGCCAAAGGAACAGTGTAAAAGAAATTTGCAATTTAATTCCATTACACAGGTTTAACCCACAAAATTGCCCGATGAAGTTTATGCTAAGAGATATTATAGACTTTAAACATCCGGAAGCTACTCTGGTAGTTAGAAATGGGGAGGAAAAATACTAGTGTAGTGGAGAATCATATAGTAAGAGGGTGGGCAAGCTGTACTCCTACTCTGCCTTCTATGTGCAGAATTTGCATAATATGCATATATGATGGAAGGATAGGTGCATTTTCTACAGCTGCTGGGTGCATAGTCTGTTTTGTACTAGGAGCCTATAGTTATTTTTACACATTCTGATTACAACATAAATAATATTTGCACTCTATATAATCCAGTGCAGGGTCAGACTGTAGATTAATTCCAGGGAGACCAAAATTACTAACTGGAGTTCTGCCTATGATTTCTTGTAGCCAGAATGACTCAGAATTAAGAACAAATATAAGGCACCATAGTCTAGATTAGTATGAGTCCTTGATTCTGAATTGGAATCTGAAAAGGAAAAAAGAATCCATGTCAAGCTGAAGAAATTAGGATGGATTTTAGATACTGTAGAGCTTCTTTATTTTAATTTGCAGTATTGTACATGCTTAAGAAGATTTTGTAAGCTCAGCAGTTCATTAGCTGTTGCAAATGAGTACCAGTACTTGTGTTAAGTCCATGTACACAGAAATAATTACTCTTAAAGTTACATTGAATAAATTATTTCAGCTCAACATATAGAACCAAATCCTGTCATCCTCACTCAGGAAAAGCTTCCTCTGAAGTTTGGCTTGAGAAGACTTCAGGTTTTGTCCCAGACTTTCAAAACGTAATTAAAAATGCTTTTCCTCAAAATATGTTTGATCTACTAACACCACATGAGTGCTTTCTGCAGGCGATTCCAGTCATCAACAGATTGCATTTGCTAGATGATGCTTTTACATTGGCAGAGTGAGTATAGTTTTAATCTCTTATAGAAAATTATTAATGTACTTTGATATTACACTGCTATATTTCACATTCCTATTTTGACTTTGCTCCTTTGTCTCCACAAATACCCTGTGAAGAAGACAGATCTCAGTAGGGGACTGTAGGACAGCTTAATAACCAGTAGGTCATCTAGTCCATCCCCTGGCAGAATAGTTCCTTTCTGTATCTTTTCTAACACTTTTCCCAGTTCATATTAAATGTTTCAACAACTTCCATCGGCAGATTTTTCTAAAACTCCCCAAAGAGGCACCCACCTCTAGTGTGCCAGGGAGTGCTCAATCTCCAGCTTTGCCCCAGGCCGTACCATTGCTCCACCCCTTCCTCCAAGGTTCTCACCCCTCCACCCCCTGCCTCTTCTCACTCTGCTCCATCTCTTCCCTCCCCTGAGTACACCTTGCCCTCACACCTTCCCAGAGCCTCCTGCATGCTGCAGAACAGCTGATTTGCAGAAGGCAGGAAGCTCTGTGAGGGAGGGTGAGGCGCTGATTCGAGTGCTGGTGGTGAGTGTTCACCACTTAAGACTCCCCAATAGGAACATTTCTTGATGTTAAGCCTACATTTTCTTTTTCCTACTTCATCCCATTGTTGCAAGCTATAGCCTCTTGAATTCAACAGTTCCTTTCAGTTCCTGATAATTAAGCTTCCAACTGCCTGTAGATGGTTATCATTTCCCTCCTTCCTTACTGACATGGACAGAGACAGCTCAGAGGGATGGTTTGCATTGACAAGTGCTGGAATTCTGCAGAAAAACATAGTATGACTTAAGTTACCTGCACAGCTCCCTAACCACACCAGCCCCACAGGAAAACTTCTTTGGATATCCAAGTCCTGCTGCAGGTGGGGGCATAAGTGTCACTGGAGCCATGTTGCCAGGGAGCTAAGAAAAACAGCAGGGAGCCCAGGAGTCCTTGGTTGTCCATGCGCTTCCCACAGATACTTAAATCAAAGCACCCCAACAACACAGACGGAACTCTGTGAGGGGAACCATAGCGTTTTCCTCTCCCCTACCACTTTCTGTATGGTTCCCACCAGAGGGCTCAGTCCGACCTATAATAAGGAATTTAACTATAATTATGTGGAATGGTGCTTTTCACATATGGGTTATTAAGGCAGAGCTTCCCATGGAAGGCCTTAGGTGGGCAGTCTGCAAAAGAGTGAAGTTTATCCTAGTATATACTGGTGCCACGCTACAGTAATTAATAACAATTTGAAAATATTCCTGAATTACTATTTAATTGTTTATATGCATTCTGGGTAATGTTTATTACTCCAAAGCAGTTTATAATGAAAAGCTGTTGTTAGATTATTTCAAAAAGTCAGTAAATGTACCGTATCTCTAAAATGCTATTACCTGCAAAATATAGAGGAAATCTTCACTTTATTTTATGAGGATGTTACGTGGTGGTAGTGGATGTGGGCCTCATCCTGCCAGCACAATTTAGTATAGTGTGCTTAATGTCATTTGTAGTCTCATTGATTCTTAGTAAAAGCCCTTGGCTCCACAGTATGGCTTTGTCTACACTCGCGGCTTCTTTGAGTAATATGCAAATGAGGCTGTGTGGAATATCGCCGAGCCTCATTTGCATATCTAATGAGACACCATTTTTTTTCAGAAGAGGCTCTTGCGCAAGAAGGAGCGTCTACACTGCCCCTTCTTGCTCAAGAAAAACCCTCTTGCACAATGCCGTTCTTCCTGAAAGGTAATAGGTGTAACGGCATTGCGCAAGAGGGTTTTTCTTGCACAAGAAGGGGCAGCGTAGACAGCTCCTTCTTGCGCAAGAGCCTCTTCTGAAAAAAATGGTGGCTCATTAGGTATGCAAATGAGGCTCGGTAATATTCCATGGTTAGCCTCATTTGCATATTACTCGCGCAAGAAGCTGCAAGTGTAGACATAGCCTATGTGTTTGCAGGATTAGACTCTTAAACTGGTCACTGTTGTATTATATTTATTCTCATTAGCTGTCTTCTTTCCTAGATCCCATAGTATCTGGATGTTTTTAATCAGTTATCTAAATAGACTGCAGTTCAAACGGGCTTAATCTGAATACATATGTTCAGTTCTGTATTTTTTAAAAAAAATAGGGCTGGATATATTGAGATTGAGTCTGCATTTGGACTAACAAAGTACCTTGCCAAAGAAGATCAACTGTTTGTGTGGTATACGGCATTGTCATACCTAATACCTGAACCACTGGAAAATATTGTGAACAAGTATGGAATATATCCATTTTTAAAGGTATCATCTTTGTTTTCCTAATATTGAAGACTCCAGGATGTTTAAATGACAAGATCCAACATGAGTCCTTTATAAGAGCTCAACTATGTACCATGAGGTGCATCACATTTCCATTGAAATTTTATTCAGCCTTTTTTTGGTATATTGATCAGTCAAAAGTATATGCACATGCATCACTTTTACAAAATGGGGGCCTAAATCCATGCAGCAACAACCACCACCAGTAGTATAGAATGGAAATATTGACTTGCATAGCAGTGCTTCTAGAGAACACCTTACACGTGTGATCTGTAATAGCTTCCAGCTTGTTTTAACGATCATGTCCTATATAGTTTAGGTACAAAATACTTCACATTGCCACTTTCCTTGCACGGTAACCTGGTGAGATTATTTGAGGAAATCAAGCTAACGGTTCCCTTATATAGTCCACAGTTCAGCAAGTACTTAAGTATATGCATAACATTAAACTCTTGACTAATGCCATTGACTTCAATGGGACAACTTACTTGTTTAAAGATAAATGTGTTTAAGTACCTTGCTGAATGTTTAATATGGAGGAGGCAGGGAATTTTTCCAGAGTTCTCCTTTCTGGGACTTGCTTTCTTATTTGTTCTTCCAGCATCTGAATTTAACCTTCTTATCAAGTTCCAAAATCTATCTTGTCTTCTAGGACTAAGGGAGCTGTAATGAGAACACAAGCAGTCCCCGGGTTACGTACAAGATAGGGACTGTAGGTTTGTTCTTAAGTTGAATCTGTATGTAAATCGGAACTGGCGTCCAGATTCAGCTGCTGCTGAAACTGACCGCCCGTTCTGACTTACATACAGATTCAACTTAAGAACAAACCTACAGTCCCCAGGTCAGCTGGTGCTGAAACTGATCAGCAGCTGATTCCAGGAAGCCCGGGGCAGAGCAACTCTGCCT